CCTGTGAAATCGATACGAATACTGAAAAAAAAAACACTACATAATTATTAGTCCGTCGCCGTGTGTGAGTACAGTTTCATATGCTTTCATATGTAATGTCATTTTGCTTTGTTTTGCAACTGGTAGACTAATTTTTGTAGGTTTGAAGTCAATCTAAGGCACGCACGTAGAAGAAAGGTTTATGAAAACTAGAATTAGATTATTTGAAGGCCGGCGATATACCTCGTTTGAGGATGACCTGAACTGAACTGATATACATGTACTCACGATGCGACAGCCAATTCTTCACTGTACGATAATAATGTTGTAAAATAGGAATTTAAGCCAGCAATATGTAATATATGACCAACGCAAGTTGTTTAGTGTTATAAAAAAAAGATACATGAGATCATTAATGATTTTCCATTCATAATGTGGTCAACATCCCTCCCGGAACAATCCGCGAGATATGTTGAACAAACTGCCTCTTAAGCAAGAAATGAAAGAAAGTGCATGCTCCCATAGCCCACATAAGTACATTTTTGTATGTCCAAATGACAAAAGAAGTTGCTGACCTGAAAGCAAATCACTGAAAAATTCACAGAGAAATTCACCGTCTACAAGCTTATTAGCTTAATGTTTATGTTTTCTTGGTATATTCTCGCCTTTCAGTCATGTGACCCAACCTTAGCAACGGTTGCTAAACTCCAAAATACATGTAGATAGCGGAATTTTCCATCCATTGCCAGCTTCACTAGTCTTGGATAGTTGAGATATTCATAACTACAGAGTGCTTCCCCGTCATATTCATCCGAGTAGTGCCTTTGGTTTTGTTGGAGATAGCTATTGAGAATTAAATATAAAATTATTATACTTTCATTTCCTTTCTACAGAATTTAGGTTTTTCTAAATTTCTTCTTTCTCGGCGTACAAGCACCAAAATGTAGTTGTGGCGAGTGGTTTTGGAAAAGTGAATATCTTAAGGCCTTGTTGTTGTTGTCTCTATTCTTCATCTCATCTCAGTCGGATGCTAGTCTCATGTGCATTTCCTCTTCCTTCTCGTGTGCATTTGTTCCCTTTGTGCTCTCTTCTTGCTTTTTTCCATTGGCTAGGCTTGACAGTGGTGTCTCTTCTTTTCTTCTTCTAATTGTTCTTTTTCTTGGTTTCAACTTACATATTTACATATTTACATGTCTTCCTGACACAGTCCCTGTGTTCTCCTTCTGTTACAGCTGTACTCGTCTTCCTGACACCGTCTCTGTGTTCCCCTACAGCTGTATTCGTCTTCCTGACACAGTCTCTGTGTTACCTAAGGCCATTCTATATGAATGATATCCAAGCAGATGTTTGGTGCGTCAGAAATATTTAGTTCTTTCACACACTCACCCAAACACGCGCACGAACATACACCCGTACACACATACATATACAATTTACGCACCTACACGTACACCCACACTCTCTAACACACACAAATATCGGTGAACAAAATGATGACAAAGATTCAACAAATTATTCATATAACTGTTTAATGGCATCTACTGCATATCGAAGCATAAGCGTAATTTGTAATATGTCAACAAACCAACAATTCAACCATTAGGTATAGAACGAAAACATTCGTTCACAGCATGCTAGCAACAAAGGGTCTACGTTTTAGCACGAATACCTAAGCTTTGGTGTCTATGATTGGGTTGTCAGCACCCAACCCTTCCTTGGAAGTCACTGCCATGGTGACAGCCATTGGCAGTGCCTGATGCTGCTGGTCGTCAATCTTGGAACTTCTTTTCTTCTTGGTCCTGTAGACAAGATCAAAACACGGCTATAAGGTGAGATATCAGACTTACCGGTGCATCGATCGGACAAAACATACGGAAATACCAAATAAGTGCAGTTCCAATCATTGACATTGTTTATAAGAGAATTTTTTAAAGAACGTATTTGACACACATATGGGTAACCGTGGCATGGGTAACCAGGTATTGTTTCATCGGTTGTATGTATCTAAAACAGTTTGCAAGCTATTTAACAGAGCATGTTGGTTTTGTACCAACAAGCGAGTTCTGAACACCTATCTACTGAGTTTCTACTACTATGAAGTATGAGCATGTTCAGTAAAGCATTATGCTGTTTTGTATGTATTCTTTTATATACAACAAGAAGAGGGTGCTCTAAAACTGCTCAATATGTAGACGTCTATCTGTGCAAGTGTATGTTGTCTTCCTCGGAGAAGCCATGTGACAAGTCCCACTGGGTCAGTCTACTGAGGAAGACCAAGGTGACTGGTCGGAAGCCCTTTTGGGTTGGAACAAAAGTTCTTTAAACCAGTAACTACCAACACAGATGGACTAGAATTTTTTTAGCTTAAATAGTACAATCTAGTCGTTTGAGTAATCACTCACCACAGATAACCTGTTGCGGCAATGATGGCTACGACGCCAATGGATACGGAAACGCCGATGATGACGTAGAGGACCGTGTTGTCTGCATCTACCTGGCCGCTTTTCAAGTACTCACTCAGCGAGCCCACGTAGGTGAAGGACCTGTCACCCAGAGCTGCTTCAAGCTGCGGCTGAGACTGTTGGAGAACTGTTTCTAAGGTGTCCAACGGTACCGCCCTGAAGTCTCCCGCGTCGGAGTAGGACATGTAGAAAGCGAGGGTTGTTCGGGTTGGGTCCGAGGCGGCTGGTTTCGGGTAACCTTCGGCGACGTGAACGTCTTCAGGATGGAACACAGCGGGGCTGTACCTGCCGTTAGAATATTCAAATCAAGCTTGGTTCGATATTGTGATCAGAAGACGCGATGGCAGTAATTTTCATGACAACAGACAACTTTGTTACCATTATCAATATTGGTCATGCTTACATTATTTATGCATGCTAACATGGACTAACTAGTGTCATAACGGTGTTAAAGGCTGATGTGAATGGTTTCAGTAGTGACTGAATTCAGATTGGATTCCGTTTAACTAATAATATTGAGCTTCTAATATCAGTGCTTACGCGTATGTGTGAATGAATGGTGAATGATGGTATTGTATATACCAGTAGGTTTCTATCTGAAAGACATTGCAGTATAAAACAATAGACGGGAAAAAATAATTCCATCAGGTACGCTAAGTACTGTCACATTAAATATTAAAATGAAATTATTTAAGGAAAATGTCTAAAATGTATGTGTGTATAATTTATGAATTGCTCTTGCTGTATTGATAGATGTCTTTGAATGCACCGTAACTGCTTTACTTTGGCGGTCTCAAGAGTATCTGGAGGATTGATGTTAAAGCTTACGATTGTCGTCTCTTGTCCCCATCGTCCCTTCTGCATGCAGGGATCCGGTCTGCCTGTTGACTGCAGAAGTCGGTGAGGGCGGCGGCGAGAGCTCGTTTGAACTCCGCTATCAAAGTCATGAGCTGAGGAAAACACGAGGAAACTAAGAGTTACATGGTCCCATGCCTTCGTCAAATGATATTTAGCTGTCGGTTGACGAATTATAAATTTTGTCACTGATTACTTATTAGTAATCAACAAGCTTTCAGGTAACCAGGAAATATAGACATCATAGGTACACTACCTCCCTTTTAAATGTTAAATGTCACAGACATAAATTCTAGCACTGAGGCTATATGACAATGCTACAACGAATAGACACAATAAGTATTCCTTGAGCCATAATATTACCTCTTGAATCGTTGACAAGATTTCAATCACTATGGTATCTGACTCGATGACATTCTCTACTGTTGGGTCGGCAGTCCAGGGGTTCGTGGGTTTGTCTGTCTCTGAGGCTTTAGTTGTGACGATTGGCTCCGCAGTGAGTGGTTTATCCGTTGTCAAGGGAGTTGTCGCTGTTCCTGTGAGCATCAATGAGGAAGATAATTTCAGAATTTCAACTGAACTAAAAGTAAATTTGAATGATTCACAAGCCTTAAAACAATCTCTCGTTCGCTCGCTGAGGTTAATGGACCGGCCGCTAGGAGTGCGGTTAATGCTAAATGAGTGACCAAGGCCACAATGACTTAACTTTATGGATGGTATCCTTTAAAGACCCCCAAACTGGTGCGCGCGGTTGAATGAAAAAAAAAAAAAATCCGCTGTGTGGCCTAATCTTAGACTAGAACGCTGGACCAGCCAACGGTGACCTGCGTACCTGGTAAACATATGCCGTTCACTACTACATTGTCCTCTTTACATTCACAGTGGAAGGAGCCGGGGTCATTCACACACCGTTCGTGTTCTGTACAGTCGTCGTAACCCTCTGCACACTCGTCAATTTCTGTTGAAGAAAGAAGTTCAGCTTCAATAAGACAAAGTCAAGACATGGTCAGGTCAATCTCATAGTTTTTCGATACATACATGGGAACTGCGTATAGAAATATCTTTCGTGGGGTCGTGTGGCGTAGCGGCAGAGTGCTCGACTCGGAACTATGAGGTCCTGCGTTCGAGTCCTGACATGCCACCGATCTTGTGCCCTTGGCACTTCATACGACATTCCTCACTTCACTCAGGTGAAAACAAGTATTGTATTGTCCCCTGTGTTGGTGGCGGCATTATTTTTTGTTGAAAAAACTTGAGTGTGCCGTTACCACGTTTTATGATTGCGTGTTGGAATATAAAAAAAAAAACTATCTTTCAGTCACGTACTGACGAAAGAAAATTGATGCTACCTGCAACGTCTAACCATTTTTAAAATCAACCGTTGCTTGACTAGCCGTTACCTTCTTTTATGACAAGGTAATTGTTTCGGGTAAAGTAAAGATACCTACCCAGACACGTCACGACATAGTCCTCCACTGTATGGTACCCTTCTCCACAGTAACAGTTGTAGCCTCCCGCCGTGTTGTTACAGAACTGCTCACAATGGTGATGCCCACTCAAACACTCGTCCTCGTCTGTCAGGCGACAAGGGTTAAAGCTGCATTAGTAACATTAGGGCAGTGGAAGGAGTCAGTTTTGAAAAGCAGTGCCATTCAGGAAGTGGGGTTGCCAGAGTATGATGACAGGAGTGTGTTTAGAAGCTGGAAACAGAGCTGTCAATCGAGTTTGTTTACATTCTGTTTTTTTTTTTGTGGTGGCACCGTGAACTGATTGCGCTTTGTGTGTGGGGGCTACGTTACTGCCAACCATGAAGGTAATCAATCAATCAATCAAATGGTTTATTATTCAATCGACATTGCAGCACTACTTGCATGTAGGCTGAATTCACAGTGGAAGGAGCCGGGGTCATTCACACACCGTTCGTGTCAAAAGACAAAGCCAAGACATGGTCAGGTCAATCTCATAGACCAGAAATACGAGATATCTGCACAAATATGTCGAAAAGTCTAAATCACAAAAAATAAGATACTGTAATTCTTTTCAATTTTTAGTCTCAATTTTTGGTCTAAACGTGTTACATAATGCCCCTTTAGTGACGTTTTGGCTGCATAATAAGGAACGGGCTATGAGTGTTCTACTCAGCCTGGCTATATGATGATACGCTTAATATATCAACACACGCATCATTAATTAGCTAATCCAACTACAAATTAAATCATGTTAATCCTGATACTGTATGCACTTAGTCATTATGTATTACAGTCTAGCATTTGTTGGATCGTCATGTAGTTATACGTTAAAGTATACATTCAACTTATGTATAACATGTATACATCTATAGAGAGCAGTAAACTGTTGTTTCTGTCCTGTTGTCCAGGATATCTGCTGCTTCTATTATGACACATATTGCTAGCAGTAGGCTGCAAAATCTACGCCGTACTTCGTTAACCAAGCTGTAGACACTGTCAAAAGCAATTATTGTACCTTCGCATGTAATGCCATCAGCGCCCAGCCTGTAGCCTTTCATGCAGGAACACACCGCGGTGCCGGTACCGTTCACCATGCACCAGCCAAGCTCTGGGTCACACCCTGGGTTGATAGCACCACTACACGGGCTGCTAGCTGTTGGTTAACAACATATGAGACACGTTAAGTGTACAATCTTCCGTATAGCAATTACAAAGTATATAGACAGGGAGATTCCATAAAATATCAGTTACCTACAAAAATCATTTAATGTCACATATTGATACATTTTTACCTGTTATCCTTGTATTTTGGAACGCCCATTTGCTGATCTGTTATTTGCCTTGAATCGTTTGATTCAGTGCGATAATCGTGGGATACCAAGAGTTACTTACGTTCACAACTCTCGCCATCAGCAGCCAGCTCAAACCCATCCCTACAGGAACAGTTGAAGGCCCCGTCTGTGTTCTCGCACAGCTGACTACAGTTGTTCAAGTTGTAACGACATTCGTCTACGTCTAAAATGCAAAAAAAAAAAAAAACAACATGAAGAATTGGTAATTGACACAAGAGGCCTTGTTGCGTCGTATGAGTAGCTTATGAATTAAGCCTTGAATAAAAGCGCCATAGGAGAGCATGTATATAACCTTCGGTGATAGGCATTGTTACCTTTACAATCACAATTCAATTCAATTCCATTCTATACTGATTTCAAACACTTTTTAGATTTTTTTGCTCTACGAACTGACCTCTTAATTCTTGTATGTATAAAGCATAAAGAAATCATGTTGGGAATTATAACATACCCATTATTAGTAATTCACATTGGTGCGATTATGCATAGTTTAAACAGTTAGATGGAAAGTAAGATATTAATGTTGACCTCACGGTCTGTCTGTTTTATTCTTGACCTGTAGGTTGTAAGATCTTAAACGTACCATAAAGGTATTTCATTCATTTGTTAGCCACCCTCCAATTTAAAAAAAAGGCTATTTATATACAACGTACCGGTGCAGGATACTCTGTCGTCCGCCAGACTGTATCCATCGTTGCAGACGCAGTCAAACCCGCCCAGGAAGTTTCTACATTCGTGCTGACAGACGGCACCTTCTGCACCTGCGCACTCATCACGGTCTGAGCAGGAAATACATTATTGTAGTATGTTTTATCACTACATACATGTACCTCTCTATCTCTCCCAACCTCTCCTTTTACTTTTCTACCGTTTGCGCGCGCATACATTTACACACAATAGCACATACATACACAATTGCACGCACAAACACTTAATCTCTGTATGTCTCTCAAGTTGTCTCTTTCTCTCACAGTTCATTTTCAAGCTCTTAAAGAAAAGCTATGCAAATTTGAAGACAACATGCATAAAGTTTGCTGATTTGTTAACGATGATGCATGAGAAGTACAATAAACATGAGAAATAATGGGTCACCGACAAAAAATGCCTGACCTTGACAGTTATAGCCGTCTCCAGTGTACCCGTCTGGACATGGTCCACAGATGTATCCATCCGCGCCGTGCCCTGCCGGCGGAGGGAGATCTGTGCAATTCGACCCAGGGAAACACGGGTGAAGGTTTACCACGCACGCGTCTACCTGCATTTCACAACGCTCTCCGTGGTACCCTGTTGCACAGGAGCAAGTTCGCCTGAAGAATCTGAACAACAAAGAGAGGTGCATGATTGCGTTGGCTGATGATTCCAAGATGGTAAACCCGTGACGCCAGTCAGCATGGCCGTCCCTCTTGACCCAAGGGTAGAACAGAATAACTTTTTTTCTTCGCAGCAGACGGACTATCAAATTATTTGTAAAATAAACCATTGCTTTTACTATATGAAATCCTGAAAACTCACTTATTCTCGCCGCCTGCAACGGACGGATCCGGGTCTACACTTGCGTCGCAGTTGCCACCGTTCTGACAGGAGCACATATAAACCACTGGCCAGTACTGGGCCGACGTGTTCTCCGGATTGTACACGTCAAGTTGGAGCTTAAATGGCGAGTCAGATGCCACCTGGAACCAACAAAATTAGATACAAGAAACATTGTGTGAACCGACTGTGTTTAAGATAAAGGGCTGAGGTACAGTTACGGTAGTAGTTGCAAAGTGCATTTCAATTTGGAAGTAAGTCCCCTTGGACATAGTAGCACATGAGGCAGCAAATCTGACTTTGACCTTAATGAAATTGTAACAGGACAATACATGTACAATGTGGTCACCGATGCATCAACACTTCTTACCATTATTGTAGCAAGATTTTGGGAGGCATATAGAGAGTGGTTGCGTTGCTCTTCGCGCCGAATCATGATCATCATACTAGTAACCAGGCCTCGAGCAAATTTAAAATCCCAAGTGCACCACTCAATGATCGCTACGATGTGCGTTGGCCAACACATACTGGAGTAAGAATCTTTTTCAATCAAAATTACTGCTACAGCAATAAAACTTACTGCCCTGTGTACCCGTGAGTCAAAAATGGGAAAAAATATCTGACCTGCCAAACAAGGGTAGCCTCCGAATCTCTGACGCTCAGCTGCACAGTATCCGGGACCTCTGGTCCGAGCACGAAGGTGAAAGAACTTGAGGTCGAGTCGGTAGCCGAGACAACTACAGTCACTGTCTCGCCCACAATGGCGTACACAGAGTCAGGTCCGCTCAACGTGGGGGGAAACAAGTCTAATGACATAAGAATATTAATGAGAAGTTTATTGCAAATTCGTAACCGGGGGCTAATTGCAAATTACAAACATAAAAGAACAATGAAACAGAGTATAATTGTATTGCAGTATACTAATGGGTGCATGGTATGGTGCCTCAATTTTAATTATTACGCTTAGCACTCCGGTGTGGCTCTTACGTATACGGTACATATATTATGTAATAAAGTTGAGGAAGCGGAATATTTCATAAGATAGACAGAAAATGTACTGTAGTTCTACTCACTGAGCACAGACTGCCTGTTGTCGAAATTCTGCTCATCCTCCACTAGTTCTTTGCCGAGGTCGAGGTCCCCTGTCTGGCTGACGTCAAACAGACAGTCGGTGTTGTTTCCGCAGGTGGTGCGAGCTCGAGCCTCCAGGTCCGGGTCACTGAACGTGATCTCGTCGGTGAAATGTGGGTAGAAGGAAGACCGTGTTTTGAAGGAGTCTCGGGTATGGCTAGGAAACAGTGATTTTCGTGGTCCATCTTCGATGGTTAGTTGCCCTGTAGGAAGAAAACAATTTTTTTTCTTTTTTTTTGGTGCCGCTAATACGATGCTCAAAATTAAAACACGCACGCACACACACACACACACACACACACACACACACACACACACACACACACACACACACACACACACACACACACACACACACACACACACACACATTTGCACACTCAGTAGCTCCACGACTGTTTCTTCTTGGGAAAATGTTTTACGTAACTACGAAATCAACATAGTACATTAATCATCCAAGGTCAATTTTTGCAACCAGCCGTTGGCAGATTTTGGTTAATTTCCTAATAGTGCGGTTGTATTTGATAACACTTTGTTAATAAATCAACATATGCATCTGACACAATTGATTGCACAAACTTACAGGAGAGGCCGAAGTCTTCGTAGAGCTCCCTTTCTGTTGCGTTCACAGGTAGTATGGTTCCATTCGAAGTCTCAAAATCATTTGATTGGTCTCCATCAAACCTACCAAGGAGTCCCCGTATCTTGCCTTTTAACTCTGGTGGGGATGAAAACTCCACAGAAAGCATTCCCTGACAATGAACAAGAAAAAAGATATTAATTGAAGTTATTCGCCTAATAAGTCTTCAAACAATGGTGGACCTTAGTCTTTAAAAGAATCAAATATTAATGCTAATATCAACATATACTTGAATATACATAAAACTATGTTAGCGAAAATCAAAACGCATTCTTACAATGAAATGAATAAAAATGATCCCTTAGTGAAGTTTTTTATTGTAGGTTCATGCCAGAGGACTAATTGCAAACTGACTTTTTGCATAGGCCAGGAGACTTTAACAAACATTGGGCGAAGACACAAACACTCACACACACACACCTTTTTGGCTGTAGCCTTCACGGTGATGCCGCTGAAGAAGACAACGTCAAGAGAGTTGTTGGCCGGCCTAGTGACCAGGGCGTTGTCTCCCACCTCCAGTTCGTAGTCTTCCTCGTCAGTCCCCCCATCAAACACAGACAGGTCCGTCAGGCTGCCGTTCACGTACATCTCAAGGCCGGAGTCTCCCACCACCTGGATCAGCACAGGCTGTTTGTCTCGTTGGTACGCGATCATGGCGGTGATCATCGTGGCGTGGTCCGTTCCTAATAATATAATTAAAGACAGAATTCAATTCTACATGAGGAAAAAAGTAGGTGACATCCAAACGTGCGAATTCCAACATTTTCAAAACCACTATATACCCTAAATTTATAAATAACAGTATGGAATTGTTTAAATGATACTCGGAAACTTACAACAGGCAGTCATCTTAAGTACCCATAGTTTTTGGAGTGCTGTTTTCGTTATCGTGATGTAGTAGCTCTGAATTGACTAATATGATGTATGACAGAGAGTTCTGTAAGAAAAACTTTATACATGTATTAGCTTCAACTCTTTAGGAGAAGGCATGTATATACAAATGTAGATATTATAGCTCCGCAACAAGCACCGTACATGGTTTTGGATACTATAATACAAAGAGTTCACAAAAAGGATGTTTTATTGCATTTTTGCACTTGTAAACCATTACTACTGACACTCAGCCAAATCTACATGACATTTCTAGAAAGTAGAGGCTCTTAGCTTTGTATTGAAGTTTCCAGACCCCTTTATGATAGGGGGTACTGGTTTTATTTTGAACCAAAAACTAGTAAAATAAAACCAGTACCCCCTATCATAAAAGGGGTCTAGAAACTTCAGCACTGAGATCACGTACTGGTCCGAAACTCCAGCAGCTTAAGGGTTAAGAACATCTGATGAAGCCAAACTGAAAAGGTCGTTTTAAACTACATTTACCTGGAGCAAGCGACATCCTGCATTGTAGTTGATACTCTCCACTGTCGACGTCGGCGAGTAAGAAGTCTCCAAGCCCGTTAAAAGAGTATTTGTTTCCGTCCATTGTTGTGAGATGGGGATCGTATCGAACCCATGGAATCCTGATTCTGTAGCTACGACATCCCTCTCGTGGTGGGGACGACAGGGGGCGATGCAGCACGAACCTGTCACAGTACCAGCTGTTCCGGACTGCCGCTGAGTCTACGCAGCAGCTTTGCCAGGCGTTCACGTCTGCAGAATAACTGTTCTGAAAAGAAAGACCAGCATGAGATTTTACCACCAATATGCAATGGAGGTATTGTTTTTGGCGTGTCTGTCTGTCTGTATGTATGTCTGTGTGTGTGTCTGTCTGTGTGTGTGTCTGTCTGTGTTTCCGCAACTTTGTAGTCAGCATAACTTCAGAACGCCTTTATGGATTGTGATGATATTTGGTATGATGGTAAGTCTTGGAAAGACAAAGGTCAAGGTCAAGTATGGGCCTCCTGGTGGATGACCTTGGTACTGCAGCAGAACTTCCGGTTTTTGTATCTTTTGTCCTGAACAAGCTATGGTCTTGACTTTTTGGTGACAGATAGCTTATCCTGTTAGGAATAAGTGGCGTAAGTTTGGTCCCCCTAGCAGCTTGTTCTGGAACTGCAGGTTAGTTTCTGGTAAAAAACTTTTAAAGCCAATAAGTCCAGATTGGAACAACGTCTTTTCATCATTTTTGGTAGGTAGGTACCTGAGAGACAGTTGTACATGATTAAATGCAAATTATGCAAATGAGGACTTTATTTGCATAATTAATGAGGAAATTCTATAATTACAGTGTTTTACATTATACTACTTTCATACATGTAATGTATGTAAGCTATGGCAGGCGGAGCATCAACAGATACTAATTATGCAAATGATGACCTAATTTGCATAATTAATGCGAAAATTATATGATTTCTTAATGATTTCTTAATGGTGAATGATGGGAATGTCTTACTTGGGACATCTGTAACATACATCACGATGTATATATTATGTTAATGCAGAGGGTATTTGCATAATTAAAGAAGAAAGTTACATTTACATATCAAGCCCATATTTCATGGAGGTATGAAATCTCGGAATTCTTGTTTTACTTATGCTAAGCTCAATCTTCGAGATTTACCATTACGGGATCACGGATCATGAGTTATATATCTGTCAAGGTATGATGCCATAATACGATGATTTCAGCATAGTAAAGTTTAATTGATACAATAACAATGACACAATGATTTAGGTTGAACTATCGCTTACACTTCAGTTTCAAAGATCTAAATGTATTTAAGTATTAGCACACGGTTGTGATTGTGTAGTAAATGGAATACATTTGAACGTTTTCACTATATCTTATATTTTTAGAATCAACGACGAAGTGACGGTCACATCCAGTCTTATTTGAACAGTGTTTGGTAGTTACATTTTTAAAATGGGTCAAGGGTATCTGGTAAATTTCAGCTATTCATATCAGGGGCCATCACCCTTCAATCAACCGACGGGGGCTGACATCATTTACAAGATATCTTTGACCCAGTGGCCATGGTGACGTCACACTTAGGAGAAGCCACGTGACTAGTCTTACTGGGTCAGTCTACAATGGAAGAGCAGAGTAGCTGGTCAAAAGCTCTAGGTGAGAACATTTACCTTTTGTGTTGGAACAAACGTTTTACCTTTAAACAGAACAAACTCACCATGATGAGGTGTCCACCTCGTAATCCAGTCCGCCGAGCCCCTCCACCAAGTCTCCACCTTCTATACCTCCGGAAAAATGAGATTGTCCTCTGCCTCCACCAATTCGCCCTTTCGTAGCAGCACATTCTCCTCATTGACAATCTCTCTGAATCAACGTAAGAGTAGACCCGGCGTCGGCTGGTCACACACGAGGGTCTCGATGTAATTGAGTGCGGGCGGTTGAAGCTGTATTGTACAGAAAATGGTAATGCCATGTTATATACATATAAAATACAACACGGGGTATTCCGTATCGCCCGAGGTACCAGCCCGACCGCGCGTCGGATCGCCATTGAGATTGCATAAGATACCCTCCCCCCTCGGCCCTCCAGCATGACCAAAGAGGCCATCTACGCTACAACCTTTCCTTAACAAAGACGGGGGGCGGCACAGACTTTCTGCTCACCAAGTCACGTGTGATCTGCATAACGTGACGTCATAGAAGCGGTGGACTGCCCATTTCTTGACAAAGACTGGAATTGTACAGTCAAAAATCTGGTCCAATAATTACTTGAATTAAGTCATGCTTTATGTTAAAGCTTGTTTGCTTACGTTGAGTCAAACCAGGCCTGTTCGGCAGTACACGGGCAGGACCCAACAGACGGCAGGGCGCCGTAACCAAAGAGCTGAGTTGGGTCTTCCACCTTCTGGCTTCGCAGCCACCGTGAGCAGTCAGCCACACTCCGCTGGGGGACAGAATTGTCGTCTTGATTCTGCAGCGCAAACTTCCACTTACCTGCAGGGTGACAACAAGAATTACTCGATACTATGATGTCCATACGTTTCGGAAAACATGATTATGGGCAAGGGCCGGGTCACATTCACTGCACAAAAAGTTGGAATTGCCAGTGGTAGTAAATGCAAGTGCAGTCAACACGGACTTTACAAGGGTAGTAAACAAAAGTGTGGTTATTTCATTGTAAAGTCTAACGCCATTCACAACGTAAACATTACCCATAATTATACTGACATTTAAAACCATTGGTAAATACAGCTTTTCGTAATACAATTCATGTCAACTGTTAAACTTGATCACAACTTCAAGGTACTATACATAAAGTCAAAGACAGCTTATCGAACTCTGGATTGATTCCTGTTAGCCTGGGTTCCAGACCCATAGCACACTGGACACAAATATCTCAGTGAGCCTGGCACACTGAGATATTTTGTGTCCAGTGTGCTTTGGGTCTGGCATCCAGGCTAGATTCCTGTCGATCTTGTGGCACAAATCTATTTTATGATATTGACATCTGTAACGCCGTGAATAAATATTATCTCTGTACTTTAATCACTCTTATAAGTACCAAAATAGTTGCCCTTTATAATTATGTACCTCCATTAATCCGGAAAAGATTTCTCATAGACACCGGGAACCTCAGGCCAGGGTGGCGGTTTTGGTTGTCCTGTCCAGAGAAATCCACGTCATCGTGTGTCAATCCAGCACTAGTGGCCGGTGTGAAGGGAAAGAATCTTCCGTCACCAGCACTGTAGCCACCGACCGCGATGTTAGTCTTTGGGAAAATGCCGGCCCCTCCGACCTGGGCTTCAACTATGTGGTAACAGTTGAATGCATTTGAAGTAAGTAATTATTTATTGTGGGTTTTATTCAACTTCAATGTTACTTTAGTCGAAAATTATAATTAGATGAATAAACTAATGTTGTGGAAGTACGATTTGGGTTCTAAAATGTAAAAAAAAAACGTTGCATAATTCGATTACAATCATAAAACGTTTTTATTCCTTTATTAAAGAAACCATGTACAAAGACTCCCAGATCTGTCAACAGATACAGGGCAGTATTACGAGTATTGAGATACATATTAGATATATGAAAAATATAAGCTATAAGATATAAATGAGGGGCATTTATCTTAGCTTATAAACCACTTCACACTACAAATACGCAGTCGGAACTGTGGCTTATAATGGTTTACTAGTATATACTTTCTTACCTGGACTAACCCATTGCTGGGCTAGAGTTGGGTAGACAAAGTTGGCGAAGGACAGCGTTCCGTCTGTAGAGATCACTAACTGGAAGGTGTTCACCTACATTAAACCAAAAAAGATTGTGTTTTAAAAATTGTGATTTATGCCCCCTCGATTAGGTACTTTATGATTATATACAGTGGAATAACGTCTGGTCACTGATGTGGCCTTTTCTCGCCGTAAACAGCAGTGGGAGAGAGGTTCATTAATATTAAGTCCGATCTCTGTCATTCTTGATAAAGACTGAATTAAAGTCGAAACCGGTCGAATCCCGTCTCGAGTCTGTCATCTTCCCATCGCTACGAATGATGTACGCTCACTCGGTGGTTATCATAGCAAATCTTAGCTCTTATTGTACCATACACACCTCTGGGTGGGTCGTTACCCCCTGATTAACTATCCAAGAAGGCATCTAGTCTACGTAATACTATACGTTTTATCAAAATACTCACGGGAAGCTGGTCGTGAGGTCGAGGACAAACCCCGTTAGCGTACATGGTGCAATCGGGAGGAACTCTTATCCAGGTCACCACCAAAGCCCACACAGCCTTGTAATCTACCAACATGTGAAAAAAAATCATATGAATTAATCTATGTCGGTGATTATAACAAAATACAGAGCTAATACTTTATATCCGACCAAAGTTTTAGCTTGGTAAGACGCCAGTTGATATTTCCTGCAGGCCATGAAAACCTGACACTTCGGGGACAGAAATATTGTTCTGAACGGCGTCAGAGTTTGTATCCTGAGGTAAGCGATTAGAGATTTCAGTTTCAGTTGATTGACAGGGTTATGCCCCAGTATGCCTAATTTGGTAGGTTGACGTCGTTTTAGGTCACCTGGAATGTGTACTCAGTGTACTGTAATAATATATATGGTATGAAACATGGGGCATGATGTAATGGCTGATGAAACTACGTTATGAAATAAAATTTTACAGTGCCTTTTCATGCAACATACAATCCCCTCCATTGCTACATTACATTATTGCAAATCATATCTATTTCTTATTCCTGCTTTTCATGTACAGTTGCGATTACGTTCATGCAGTTTGTTATTATAGCACTTTTAGCGACACCATCGCTGAACCGACAGTCGACATGTATACAGTAAAACCCTTCCCCTCCCAAATTAGCTGGATCATGTACATGTACGACGCATCTACGATTATGAAACCAATAGGCAATGTGTTGTATACCTCCAGTAAAAAAACCCGGGGTGCTTCTCCCATCTAAGCTGGCAAGGTTGAGAATCTGCTCAGTCCCTGGATTCCCGTCATCAGTCTCGTGGAAGCTGTAGAATATTTGAGTTCTCTGGTCCTCCGGCAGGTCGTTCAAGACTGAAATGTACTGGGACTGTTATGCATTTTACACATTACCAGGTGTGTGTATGGAATAAAGGCGTCCCCCTAAAGCCAAACACCTAAGTGTATGTGAATGTACGTCAGACCTTCAGTACTGTATGTGGCCCACAAAGAAAACCTTCGTCACTTACGCAAACCATTTGGTCGGTTGCGTCATTTAGGCTTGTTTTGATACATTTGGCATGTGTTATTTGAACAGGAAATCATCAGTATCTATTTCACGTATCAAGTAAAAACTGCAAGGTCACCGCCAAGGTTTTTGTTTTTTTAACTCTCACCTGTAGCATTGGACTTGGCTAGGAATGGCGCGAGGACCGCCGCTTCGCTGAAAGCGAGGACGTTCTGAATTGGTGTTGGGAATCTTGGCCGGACAATCGGATCGAAGCCAACTATTCCGTTGTCACAGATCTGCAAGGTATTTCGGTTTTGCTTTGTAAAGATTAGAGCGTTAAAATGTCTGCGACGCAGACAGGTGATAGCCGCTGTGCTAGTGTCCTTAAATATGATTAAATCAATTTGCATTTCATTGGACTATAGGGCAAGCGTAAGCGTACGTACCCTATATAAAGATACCGTTAGGCATGCTTTAAGGTGTGTTCAACTTAAATATCAGATTTTGTGCATTGAACGTCTCAGGATAACAAACTCACGTGAACGCTGTGGTGTCTCCGTCCGAAGAACCGGAAGCCCTCCTGGGGAAGATCCTCCTTGTGACACTCTGAGAAGTCCCATTGGCGGGGCTGCCCTTCCACTTCTTCTCCATAAGGGTACATGTCGTCATCTGTGCAGGAGAAACTAAACATCAGCCATGGGCATAGCTATAGGCCTTCAGTTCGAAGATCACTAAATATCACCGTGTACAAAGCAAATGCATACTGTTTGCCTTCACATGGTTTAGCCTTACAAAGTACTGCTCTGTTTATTCTTATTCAAACACATTAATTTTCATGTATATACGATAGTTACACTAGTTACCATGGTGACAGCCGTCTGGTCCAGGTCATTGATGACCTTAGGTCTTTGGAACGGAAAAAGAAACTGAGCAAGTACAATGTTTTCCTTCTGCGAAGGTAAACATAAAAAGTAAATGGTAATGATTTGGCTTGCCCCTGCGCATTCCACAGTTCATTTTCCCCAAGATGCAAAGGGGTCCGTCCGTCAAGTCAGACATTGTCACCAACATATACCAACACTGATATTAGACCAGTTACAACTTTTATCTCAATAAAACCGTTTCACCATATAGAATAACAGCGACTTAGCCAAGATAGTAGGGTCTTGCCAGTGGCTTAGTACTCGCAGGCAATTGCAGCTCTTAAAACTCACGTTAACAGTGCATTAAAACCAAATGGGTCCATGTTTTATGTCGATATTGTATGTCCTAGTTGTATACCTCGACAAGTGGTCTCTCCCACCAGACGAAAACCGTCGCGACAGCTACAGTTCCTCCCTCCGTCGGTGTTGGTACAAAAGTGGTCACAGCCGCCAGTATTGGTGCTACACTCGTTGATGTCTTCAAGAAAAAAAGGAAGGCTGTTTACAACATATCTTCCAAATTCATTCCATTTCAAGGGAATTCGAAATAATTGAAATCAATCCAACGTGGCAGACAGTGTGTTCGTTGATTTACAGATTTAAATTGCACAGTATAGTGCTCATCAATGACGAAATGTAAAGAGAAAGGGGACGAATACAAACCACACGTAAGATTTTTCTGGATTCTATGAAATCCATACTTATCTGTTCTTATTCCAACATTTAATGAGCAAACGTAGTGACGGTACACTCATGTTTTTCAACTTATTTTTATGCAGCCACCAACACAAAGGACCATTCGCCTTTTCACCTGAGTAAAGTGAGGAAAGTCGCGTTCAGTGCCTTTCCCAAGCATCTGGTAGTGCTGCTGTGAATGACGTACAGACCTCACTATTTGCATGTTCGGGACAAAGTAATAAAACAAAAGTACCCATTGTTGAAGCTGATAGTTTTACGACACTGCCTAATATAGGACCAATTCCCATGGGAAGTCTGTAAAATGCAAATGAGCTCACCGATACAACTCAGTCCATCCGTACCCAGGTTGTAGCCCGCGTCACAACTGCATGTGAAGGACCCGTGGGTGTTGTGGCAGTTCTGGTCACAGCCGCCGTTATCGGTGGCACACTCATTAGTGTCGGGTGTAGCTGACCAGATGAACGGAATAGATGAGTATTACATATCGGGAAACAAGAGCTTCCGGCACCACTTCTTTGACTTACAACCCCACATGCAGTTTAAGATGATGAGTGTCTGTGGGTAAGTGAGTGGGTGGGTGGGTGAGTGAGTGAGTGAGTGAGTGAGTGAGTGAGTGAGTGAGTGAGTGAGTGAGTGAGTGAGTGAGTGGGTGAGTGAGTGAGTGGGTGAGTGGGTGAATGGGTGAGTGAGTGAGTGAGTGGGTGAGCGAGTGAGTGAGTGAGTGAGTGAGTGAGTGAGTGAGTGAGTGAGTGAGTGAGTGAGTGAGTGAGTGAGAGTGTTTCCTTAACTATAGAAATCGCCACAGGGCGAAAAAAATGTGTTCTGCTACCTTGTGTCCTGCAACAACGACGTAAATCATCCAATCGAACAAAGAAGGTGTATTCCTACCATGGCAAGATGTCCCGTTGATCAGATGCAGACCATCGTTACAGGTACAGTTGTAGGAACCTGGTGTGTTGACGCAGCCTTGTTCACAATCGTGTATCATCACCCAACACTCATCAATGTCTAGCAGGGGTAAAACATTTAACTTAATATTCATTTAGGCCATGTTGATTTGATTACATGGATGACATCCTCCCGCGTGAAGTTTCGTCCCCCCCCCACAAAAAAGGATTTCGACCATACTGTACTAGTAAATCGTACAAAATGACGGAATACATTTGTCGTATATTGCAAAAAAGTATGGAAAACTATACTAATGTAATGGAATGCTAAAATCTTTTTAGGGAAGGAAGGAAGTATGAAGAAATGAAAATGAAGGGTTAATTATTCGCCATACCATGTGTGTTTAGTCATTTGTTCAGTCTTTATGATTTTATATTGAAAGAAACTTTTTTGCCAAACTTTTTTTATTCGCACGCTCGCGTCAGTTTTGGGGTTCCCAGAGGATGTCATCCATATAATCGAATCAACATGGCATTATTAAGGTTATACGTAAATATTATTTATGCAAATCTGTAACAAATGGTAGAACAGAGGCTGTTGACGCTCAACGTTCTTACTTCTGTTTTAACCTTTTCCCAATGTGGCCGCTTCCATGCATTTGTCTGATAGGTGAAACAGAATAAGTTTTTTTACCCATATTTGTAACAAATGGTAGACTTTTGGAGCGTATAAGCGCTCACGGTTCTTGCTTCTCTTTGAATGTTTTTCCGATATGGTTGCTTTCATTTGTAGATAAAGCAGAATACGTTTTGCTTACGGAAATCTGTAACAAATAAGATTTTTCTTAAAATTACCCTGGTCACAGTTCTGTCCTTCCCAACCTTCGTCACACTCGCAGACGTTGATATCCACGCAGAGTCCATTGTTACACGAGAGGTGGCAGTAAGCTGTAGATTAAAACAAGACCTTTGCTTAGAGCTTCATGCTTTTTTTGTGGTTGAATTTGTGAACAGCGCCACTCGACTTACTAGCGACGTAATGCGGTACTGCGGTACATCATTAAAGATACGTTATGCAAAATGGTATGAGAACCTTCCTTGTTAGGATATATTCGTATTGGGACATAAATGTTCTTATATTGCACGTTGAGATCTACACCGTGACTCACAAGGATCGCCCACAAGAATGTCAACAGTTAGTTCTTACTCATTATTTTGTACCTTGGCAGGTGTCACCGATCTGATTCCATCCCACACAACACCGGTGGTCCGTGAAGTATTCAGTGCCATAAACGGTGATAAAGCTACGGCGGTACCTGTGATATGAATGAATTTTAAAACCTTGCGTTAGTCAGTCATTCAATCTTTCTTTCTTAGTAAGGCGTTTTAAACTCCTGACGCAAATACCGATATTTTGAAAGAAATGGATATTTATTATCTTTAGATATAAAACATTTGTTCCAAAACAAGAGAATTGTTCCCGCCCGGATCTTTCGACCAGTCACTCTGGTCACTGGTATCTCAGTAGACCCAGTGAGACTTGGATTCTCTAATTAATAAAGCGTGACGTCAACACTGGGTCAAAGTTTACTAGATACTCCAAACATGTAACTATCAACACAGAATAACTTAATGTTTCATGATGATATCAATCAGCACTAAGACTTACCTTGGCCTCGTGCCGAATATCTCCTTCAGATAGTCCCAAACACCTAGGGCGGATTCCCGGCGTCTTCGGTTTTGTATTTGCCACGACACCTGGCGAGTTCCGACAAAAGTGCAGACGCTGCCTGGCGGGCTTGAGAGATAGGTGTATTCATGAGTATTTGGGCTACATTGTGGCTCATGTGTAAATGTATATTTTACCTGACCGCATCTCTAAAGGACGTACAGGAATTCTATTGATATACGTCAGTCTAAGCAAAAACAAATTTACAACATGTAAAAATTTCTGTTGAGACTCAATCAATATTTCATGTCAACTAAAAACTGCTCTTAGCCGCTCCCCTCAAGAGGTAATTTCAGGCTGTCCGTTGCGACACCAACACACTGTCAACGAGTCAAGCTCAAAACTCTGGACTGTGCCCTTCAACCTTGCTCAACCTATCTTCAGTTACAAAAAATGTTTTCACTACATTGACTATGGGTAGATCCGTTGGGATGACAGAGAGGAAAATTAACCGATACAAACACACGGTCATGATCGATGTTACTACATACATGTAGTAGAATGGAATCAGTGGATTCATGCGGTGTAACCGACATCTGTCACACCGCAGTCGTCCCTCAGTGAGCCACATTGTTCCGCTTTAGAATTTTTGCACAGCCTGTCACACGACCGGTTTCGCCTGTGTGGCTTCTTCAGGTGTACAGAGGCTAAATGACACAAGTTACGACGTTCCCACTTTTATACCGTCCCAGCGCAGAGCGCCCTGGTCAGTGGCCCTACAAGGTCATGTAAACGTTTACTTTTGGGGTCGGCACTGTTTTGGCCACTTGAAGTAATATACATGTATGATATATGAATGAGACACTGTAATTTGCCCACTACAATATACAGTTTACACACTCAGGAACTTGTTTTTCTGCCGGCGCCGTACCGACGGACTATAAAACAGTATGACTACGGATAGCTATGAAATGTCAACAGGTAATAGCTAGATGTATACAATAGCTGTACATTTATCATAGCAAACAGTTTTATAGGAGAGTAATTTATTATTCAAACATAGCACAAATCGACAAAGGATTGTTAGGATCTTTATGGGCCGTTAGCACTGATATTAGTAGTCCATAAAATTGCCTGGCAGGCATTTGGTCAACATTGTAAAGATATCGATCGCCGTACATAAAATCGTTGTAAAGCAATATATCGTCAATGTTGAAGAGTATACGTACTTGAATTGTGTGCGGTGATATCTTTAAAACGTTGACCAAAAGTCTACCAGACAATAATATCAGTGTCAACGGCCCATAAAGATAAAAGGTCTCGAATCATTACAAATCCTAATAATGATATTTCATGCATGTCTTTGTGACAGATACAATGATCGAAGCGGATCCAAATGGGATCATCCAAAATTTAAGATTCTTCAATTTCTAAATGATTGTATTACCAAGAATAAAAAAAAAATGGGTCTTTTGCAGATACGAAATTTTAGTCCACTGTTAGGCCACTGTTACACTTTTTCGCATACACGTGCGCATGCTTTCGTATTCGTATCTTAGTATATATTCCGTATGAGTTGCCATTTGCGTGCGAGTTGACATTTCTGTCAACGCGCACGCGCAGCCAAACGCACAAGACGCGTACGCGCGAAATTGTAGAATAATTTACACACATATCTAGCGCATATGTCACGAATCCAGCGTGGCATAGGTGAAATGAGGACGATGAGAAAACGTTTATGCGAAGAACTTTGCTTGTGAATGACTCCCTGTTGATCGACAGGCAGACGAGCCTCCGGATTAGAGCTGAACATGAATAGGCCGTTTCGCTCTCGACCATGGCGCGATTTCTTTCTTTCTTTCTTTCTTTTTTTTTTGAATGGCAAATGTTTGTAGGCCACCGATCCGTCCGATTTGATAAGGGAATCTTTTCGGGTGAAAAATCCGCTCGACCCTCAGGGCATTTTATAATTTGGTGACCTCTCGTCGGTCATCAAATACGGCCCAAGCTCGCTCACTGTGCATGTGCAAGTGTGTGACGCCGGCTCATCAGATATATAAAGGCTTCAATTTTGTGGGCACCATAAGGAAGCTCACACACATGTTTCACACACATGAAGCTAAAACTGAATCTTTGTAAGACAGTATTGGTTCCTATTCCTCGCCGAGGGAGGTACTAGACAGGAATAAACAACCCACGACATCGGCATCCTGAAAACAGGCGCCTGAAATATCTGTTCAAGCTGCGACATGCCCAACTGAGGATTACTTAAACTATGAGGAGGCGTAAACGGACGGATCAAAACGGAAACAAGAAGCCATAGGTAACAATCCTCCGTGAAGTTTTGTATATTGCAACAAAAACAATCCCAAGCGTCAACGCCAGACCTACTGTGCAGACATTAGGAAGCGGTTAATACAATGAGGGCGCGTCACAACCATAAAACATAAAAAGACCTAAATCCATTACTGCTCCCAGGGCGGTAAAGATACTGTGCTTCAAGTTCGAAGTTCATTTTAATTACACACACACAATCATTGAATTCACATAAAGATCGGACTATCATGGTCATGTCACTAGTAACAAAGACAACACCACCGTCTTACCGTTCCCGTTACGCGACTGGCCAGGCCAAAATCCAGCAACAGTTGCGGCCAGCACCGCGAGCGTTACTACCGCCGGTCAGATACCCGGGCAGATACGCTCCTGGTGGCCACCTGCTTAGAGGTTTGCCACCCCCTTGGGGAAACAGTTGCAGACTAACAAGTCTAAACACAGGCTACATAAAATTAACAACACGACAATCTAAATAGATGAACAAAGTCTGCTTTCATTACAATATCTTTCATTTACTACATTATTATTCATTTGACAAGGTATCGCAGTAGGTACAAACCACGTGCACAATCCCAAAAGATACTCGCCACCATTATATGCAAAACAGCCACCTAATATCTGCTTAGAGAACCTCTGCTACCGGACAACTGCCTAAATCTACGGCCTATTCCACAGGATTGTAAAAGTAGGGATGTTTCTAAAATATGCATTTACTTCAATATCAAAACTGCTACGGTGAAAATAAAAAGACATGCATCATCACGGACATAATGGTACACCGCATGCCCAATTACATAGAAATGCGTCGTACGGAAGAATGCGTTTTGGCTGCGAACATCTTCCAAAAAACTTAAGCATCTCTTAAGCACGGGCAAAAACATCTGGAACCACTTATCGGGACCTCACCATATCTGTCTGAAGTTCCACCCCCACCGCTATTCCAAACAACGGGTTTTTCTGGACCATTCCAATTTGCCTCACAATTGTAGAGGTGCATCTGCAATATGACATTGACCGCGAAAGCAGCGACGGCAAAAATACACATTCGTGCATCAACACGGGCATGCCCGCAGACGGCGTATAAAATTGCGTGCCGATTACACAAAGAGAACCCAGTGTTTTGACTGCGAACATGAAAAATCAGCCGATCACAACACTCCGTCCGGAGGTCCTGACCTCCTTCACGGAGTAATTAAAGACACGGCAATGGAGATACTTGGACAAAGATTAGGACATGGAATTTATGTGTCAGAGCCAGATATTGTAGGGCTTATGTAGTTGAGCCTCTACAAGGGCAAGGCTTAGGCGTCTACTGGAGGCAGCAAATATACTCCTTGGTGGACTAATTCCGCCAGCGTACTCGTGTTAGCTGTATAGTTCGCCAATTTCTACACTTTCCATCTACCTCCGAAGGCTGGTTAAGTCTTTCCTACAGTTCATTGTCAAGCAAATGGATCCAGTAGTTTGGTCACTTGGGTAGAATGCCAACTAACCAGCCAGCCTTAAGGGTCGGCAAGTATCGAGGCAGCGCGTTTCTGCCTGGTAAACTTTCGTTGCCATTCGAAACGCGTGTACGGTTGATGCCATATCGCTGACTGGACGAGTGTATCATGCAAATAACAGTGAATACATATTAGTGAAAAAAAGACAGAGCACAACCTTAGATTCAACTCACTCACCCACGAAGGCCCTCGACAGCTATTCCCGCCAAACTCATAAGAAACACGACACAGAAGAGGCGCACAGCCGCCATGACGGCGGTTAGGCTGAAACTGCCCCAGAGCTGCGCACGTTCAACATATATTGCATGTTTTATTGCCAAGGTTGCCCGTTGTTTTACAACTTTGATGCTTTTACAACGTTACGTTCATACCGTTAAAGGATATTTTATTTGGCCAATAAATTATAAATATTTAATATCTACCTGTTTTGTTCTTGTCGCGTTGGCGACAAACAAGCACTTAAAGATATTACATCTTTATTACATTTTTATTGGTGTCCTGTAGGCTACAAGTCCTCTTCCTGGTTCAAACGTGGGTTAAGTTCCTCGACCCCACTGTAAATTAGTGCTATATCATTGAGATGCACCATCCCCGTATGTAGCCAGTGTACTAATAACCGCATGTATCGTTGTAGATTGATTCGGTTCAAATGGGCATTTTAGTGTATATGAAGTACTTGAAAGGTACTCTGAGATACTAGAAGTTTGCCGCTCTTATCTGTACTCCTTTAGTAGACCAACTCCCATAGCATGTTTTCTGTTTATTTGGCCAATTCTACTCTTTCCAGCCGCCCATATAGCCTGGTAGGGACTAGTACATAAGCCCTTTAATGTGACGAAAAAACCGGTTCAACTAGTTATAATTAGTGCTGTACGTACTGATCAGGTGTACACAGGTGAGTTTGTTTTACGAACACCTGCCACAAACAATATCAGCAGAACAACTATAAGGTACGTACTGCGCTTAACCAGTTGTACATAGTTTACTGAACGGTAGAAACGTTTTAGGTCTAGATATCCGGCAACGTTGCAAGGCATGGTATGTGAAAATCTTGGCAAGCTAGTGTATGCAACATTGGGTTCTGCTTTGGTCCAACAATACGGACATTTTATGTCAGATAACGTGTATGGTAGAAGCTGTAATAAGTTGTAATTGGTCAACCATGTAGTTTTCTTTGCGCTTTAGTTGGAATACTGAAATAGATACTTGTATTAGGAGGAATATTCACGCAATAGTAACATGTCAGACTACAAGATTTACAAAAATGTAGTATGCCCCTAGGGAGACACCACAACATTTCACATAAGGGCACATAAGGAAATGAGGGTTCTTAAGTAAGCTTTGAGGTTTTCTGTTAGCCTGCTAGCTAGAGCCATTATAGTATCGCTGGTATCTCTACGGTGCACCGGCGTTAAACGTGACCCGCACAGGTTCAGGAGTGCACGCCGGGGTTTTTACGGGGTCCCGTTTCAATAAGTTCGTCCCCAGGACGGCAAATGTCAGCTGGAAAGATCTTGCGTGGCAGGAGATGCCTATTCTTATTTAAGTAGAACTGGCGCCGGTAAAACAGCCCTAAATTGGCCTATGGAGAGTGATAGATAACCTTGCTAGTTTTCAGTCTTCTGCCCAACTTACCCGCATACTAGTACTGCAATCTTGCAATTTAGTTATTTTGTCGTTACCGTGTATCGTGTTTTGTAAATAATGAATAATACGGCATATAAATTTACGCAACGAAACTTAGATATTCCAGGACTTTAAATGATGTAAACGTAAACTTTTATCTTCTTTATGCATTTTGTCTAACGTTTACCACTTCCCTTGTGGCCATCAGGCCGATTTGAGCGTCTCATGAATAAAGAATGGTGCAAACAAACACAGCTTGGGGCGTTATAACATTATCTGTATACTGATGAGGTTCACAGAATTTCAATGTCCCCAATACGACACAGTACGTATATGGGTATTCTATACCTGGTATAGAAAGTACATGTAACGTGTTAAATGCTAAATAATGTCGAAAATGATTATAGGTCGGTGAACGATTGTGGTAGAGCAAAGTTCTTTATCTTCAAAATCAGTTAAATTATGTCTGGTTCGCTGCATGTGCACTGAAGCTACAGTGGTACAGCGAACAATACGGTCCCAAACGTTAAGTAATTGTGACAAACTTAGATATACGCCTTTATAAAGATGATACCCGTATGTACAGACGGTTATTAAAACGTCGGCTCTTGTTACACAAAAGTTGCGAATAGAACTTTGCTATTCAACGATACTAGTAGTTATTAGCGAAAACTTACTGGACAACATCAATGAATAAATAAATAAACAAACATCAGATTGGGTGATTTGACCTAAAATGTCTTAATGCGTGATTTGACCTAGAATTCCTTACCTAATGGTTTTTTTTTTTTGCGGTATTAGGTCGGACAGAGGCACGATGGGGAATAACTCTTCTTCAAAAAGCGCCACCTGTCAGATCAAGACGGACAAGGCAGCGGGCGGGTCGGTGTCTTTATACATTCATTCACCATAGAATATGAAGGAAGCTGTGCATGCATTCCTAAACGTGTTCCACTCTAAACACATGGACAAACGGAATGCATTCGTATTCCAAAACGCGTTTTGGAATATAATACGAAGTGAAATGCATGCTGTATTTGAAAACATTCCAAAATATTAGTTTCGCAATCACATGTTTTGGTTCTAAACTGAACTCTAATCTAAACACATATGAACACATGCATGTATACATATACATAAAGAAAAACGAGACTTCTATAGACACAATATGGATTAACAACTAACAATTAGCAACTCAATTAATTAGGGGATGACAATTAGCGCTTTTTCCAATGGGTAAGTGGCTACATATCAAATATTTGCATTTTTAGCGTTTTACATTGCATTTCTACGTTTTGACAGACGTGGACAGGGCTTTGGAATTGACCTGTTCCCCATGAAACTTTCATTTAAAGCGACGTAATTCAGACTTTTAAATTTTAGCCCCATTTTCGTGGTTATGGAGGACACTGCCGGCAACCGGACGGACGCCATCAGACTCCCCAAATGGAAGAACGGCGTCACGCCAAGCGACATTCAACTACGCGAACAGGTGTGTGTTGTGTTGTCCTTTTTGTTTTGGTAGGTACATGTAATAGCATCGAACCTTTAACTCGGGAGTCTAAAAATTACTTTGACCAACACGTCAGCAGAACGCACTGCTCCTGCGTGAAACCCACAGCGTATTGCGCAAAGTACTTCAACTGAACGTTTTGTTTAAAGACGATAGCATCATGTTTATAGTTTTCAAATAGAGTAGTGTAGGAAAAGATACCGCCTGTCTGTGTAACAGGAAAAATTCTAATGCGCCGTTGAGCAAACATCAAACGAAAACTAGGTTTTGCTAAAATACTGTTTTATGCATGTAACGTTATATTTTAAAGAATCTATATTAATTGTAATAGCTTCTTGATAAAATCATGGAGACATAGCTACATAATATGTCCATTACATTGTCGTACATATCGAGCCTGATACATCAAATGACACGCGCAATTAGAGGCTGTTCATGTTTCCGTAGACTTGTAAGAAATATAGGATATGAGTACTTACGGACAGTTCCCTTGTTTCTAGGTGAAGTACATGGAGATCTGGAGCGAGGGGAGATGCGACATTTATGTCGATACCGTCAAAATTTCTTCGCTTTCTGATGTGGACTTGTACACCTTTCCAGTACAGAGGTTCGTGCATTGCATTTCTACAAGAATAAAATTTTAATGTATCTCCTTTTCGTTGATATATTTCTACATGTGTTCGATCTCTGTACCATATTTCTGTAAAAGAATCATTTTAGTACCTAAAACTACAGATGCAAAGGGAAAAACTCTAATCAATAACTGATTATATACCAAAAATCAAATAAATCCGTCAAACCACCGTACGTTACAGCTGCGAACATACAAACACTACCGAAAACAGCACTAGTACTAGTACTAGTGCCTTCCCGCGGAAGAATATCTCCTTCCCCAGAGGTAACAAATGCCAGTCTTGCTTCCTTCGTTCCCCAGGTCGCTGAAGCCCGGCGCGGGAAACAGACTGTTCATCCCTCCGCACGACTGCTGCCTGCCTCAGACCGACCCCCATCCGGCACAGCGACGGCGGGAACTTAACGACAAAAAGAAGGACCTCCAAATGACGACACTAGCCGACGGGTGTCCTGTACAGGTTTGTACATTATTTGCACATTCTTGATCGAGAGCTGAATTGCAAATAACAGTGATGCTCGAACAAACATGACAATGACCATCAATGAAGCACACTACATATATATCTTGTGAGTACTGTAGTCTAAAAGCTGTGTCTAAATTGTAACTTGATGGGTTTGACGTCTGTTTTTAGGACAGAAGAAGACGAAATATGACGTAAAGGCACCCATCCTGAGTAGTAGCTCAACCTATAATATCATGGCACTTGGCTTTTCAACCATATATTTGCCTGTGGAAAAGAGTTTATTTTGGGGGTAAATCGATATCTATAAACAAAGCTGTTTAACTTTATGTTTGTTTGTTTGTTTTTCATAGGTTGCCGGTTCACCAAGACAGGCAATGTGGGCACCGGAATACAAGGTACAATTGTTGGTACAGACCCAAGAAAAATACACCTAAACATTAGTGTGGGCACAAAGCGCTCGCAAAATGTTGAATATATTAACATTGTAGAATCACATTGCATTCTAGTTAAACTAGTGACATTAACGCTATTGCTGTAGTTTGCTACTTAGTAAAATAATAATACGTGTATTGTGTTTATATTCGCAAAAGCAAAACATATCGGTCTTGCTCTGTTTCTTCCTATTCTTCTCCAAACACAGATGGTCAACGTTATGGACTAGACCTCTGTCACCACCGCCATGCATGGTAACTGGTGGATTTCATTATGTAGCAAAACAGAGCTTAAAGGGGCTGGTCACCATATGATAGTATATATGAACGTGTTTGAGTAAGAAACAGAGAAGTAGTTTGGCTAGATTCCGACAAGGAGGAAAACATTATATATTTTTGTCAAATGTTACCTTTCTAATTCATATTCGTCTTTTTGTCGTCTCTGTAGAAGGCGTACTGCAAAGTCCGAGACAGCTGCAAAAGCGAAGAATTACTCCTTATGTTGACAAGGAGAGGACCAGTCAAGGAACTGGGCAACTTTTCAGACTTGTACAAGCTTGGCTTCAAAGTCCCACAGGTGTGCGCCAACTTTATCTCCAGATAGAATTCCGAATTTCAACGCCATTATTAGCGGCAAATTCTCAAAAGGAATAGGAAAATGTCGTGCTTCGGATTTCAGTCCAGATTTTGGCTAACTAAATGAGATAACACTTTTCTATGACCTTTTACTGGGAACAGCATACTAGGGTTAGCGGCCGGAGCTTCTAATGCATGCGATCTAAGCATGATCAGAAAATCGTGCAAGTTGCTAATAAGCGCCCCCCTCCCTAAAGCCGCGCTGAAAATCCTAAGATTAAAATGGTGAATGTGGACGCGCTCTATCTTGAAGTTGCATTGAACAAAATGATCTTGAAAATTTATTCCAGGGCATGGAGAACTGGTGGTTCGATAAGGTTTTCGGACAGCAGAGACTCCAGGGTTTGGTGCCTAACCTCATCAAACTGTGCACGGAAATCCCAGCAAGGTGCGCTTTTCTTAAATGACACGGAAAAAAATACACCATATCTAGTACATGTATATCTTAAACTGTGTTACATGATTGAAATGCAATAACTGACATATCAATCTTAAAGACCTATCTAGTTTATGTACTTTTTGGAGCAATTTTTTTAAAATTCTACAAGACAGTGGCTTATTCGCACAGGTAGTTTCTTTCTCTGAAACTTTTGCTTTAGGAACTGACAGTAATCATTGTTAAAGTTGTTGTTTTGTTGCTGTAACTTTTCGATTCCCTTCTTATATAGATTCTAACCGCGCCTTTATTTTATAACTTTCTGTTATGGTGTGTTGATCTCTAGTTTAAACGTCACGGAGGAGATGGTGAAACCCATGCTGAAGGACACGTCCCTGAAACAGGCGCTCCAGGACAAGCGGCTGTACCTGACGGACCTCACCATGCTAAAGGGCGTCAAATGTATTGACGGCAACGTGGTGAGGACCTGGTTTTCTTTCAAAGAGGAAAATAAATTTCATTCGTAACTGCCTTTAACCCTACCTAGACCGGGCTTTTTTTGACATGGGGGGACCGGGGGGGGGGCTCTTTTGACCCTCCCCTAAGAACTCGCGAACAGTATGTCGTATGACCACCAAATTTTCAGAGAATGGTGTACTAGTTAAAATTTATCATATCTACAATTTTTATGTCGTTATGACGTAATATGACGTCATTATGACGTCATTAATGTGATTTTATTGGCCAAAACCGTCTAAATAGGTTTTTCCCTGAAAATCTCCCTGGTATACAACATAACTTTACCAAAAGTGTTTATGACAGAATATTAGTGTGTACTAAGTCTTATGTTGCCCATAGCAACACCGGTGACGTCATAAAATGACGTCATGCATATTTAAGATATCCGCCATCTTGGATCATCAATCTTGAATTTTCAAAAATAGTTTTTTTTCATGATAAAGCCTAAAATACATTGTAAACATACTAAACACCTTCATTCAAACCTTTTTTGTAAAAAGAAATGGAAGTATTGATGAAATTTTAATGAAAATAACCCGTATATACCTGTTCTAATGATATGGTCCGCCATCTTGGATTTTGGCCAATGACGTCATCAAATTAGCATAAATTATGCATATTTAATAATAAAATTTACATAAAATTATATGGGATGTTATTAATATTAGAAACCATGAGTAACTTGACATAAAACCCATAAAATTCTATTGTTGAAACAAAAAGTACTAAATTTAGCAAAAAATGCCTGTCAGAAACCCGTTGCCATGGCAACACAAAATATTATTATCTTATTCCAATGATAGAGAATTGTTGCCAACAATATTTTAGGAAAAGTCACCAAGTTTGGTCGTTCTACGGCTAGCCGTTCAGACGCTAGGTGACATCAAAGTTGCCGCGGGCACTTTTAGCCCCCCCCCCCCGGTCTAGGTAGGGTTAAATGAATGAATGAATGGTTGAATTGCGTATTTCTTACAGACTTATGATACACAACCTCTTAGAGGTCTTCAACAATCACTGTATTATAAAACATTTGGCACTGGAAAATCAACTTCATACATACATACATTAGTTGGCCTATCACTTAGCAAAAGCGATTATATTATGAAAATAAGATAAATGAGATAGACAATAAAATAATTTATGGAACATATTGAGAACTGTAACAGGCACATGACATGAATGTGTCTGCGTAAGAACAAACGGAGCAGTACTGTGTCGAGATAGACCATTTGAAGGTAAACGTATTGTGCATATTTGCGCTGCAAATGTTACATTTCTAGCTTAATACTTGACTTTGATATTTTCCCCAGCTGTGCGCACCAATGGCCTTGTTCTTCGTGGATGACGAAGGCGACCTCATGCCTATAGCCATCCAGTTGTTCCCATACTCACAAAAGGTAATAAGTTATACAATTATGTTCTATATACAACATCAAATTACATTATACACATTGTCTGCACTGAAAAGTAATTTTGTATGCCACTATTTATTTTGTCTGTAAAAGTCTATTTCTTAGAAGGCACCGATGATATTTGGTATCGACTTTGCTGTTTCTTGTAACCTTTTAGTAAGTAGTATGGTGTAGTATGGAAGTAAACGCGATTTTTAGATTTTGCCCCCATGCTTGCATGGTGATCAGGTACTAGTATTCCTTCCTACGGACCCACCCTACACCTGGCTACTAGCGAAGATGTGGTACAACCTGGCGGAGGCTTCTTGGCACCTGGCCTGCGGAAACTTCGGTAGATGGCCTTTCTTTCACACTGATACTAGACTTACTTCTTGATTTTTGTATGAGGGTGTCACGAGAATAGACACGAGATTTATCTCCAAATTACTTTACGCGAAATGATAACTAGAAATCGGAGCTTTATCTGTTGGTTTATTATCAACATGAATCAAATTTACAGTTTCAGTTTTCATAGAAAAGTAATTCACTATACGAATCTTCTGCCGACTTTTCGTCGTTTTTCGGCCATATAATTTCCCATCTACGTCTGATACATGATTTCCGCTACCATCAGGAATTGGTATTCTACCGGAAACCTGCATATCAGAAGGAACGTAGATGTACGTGGATTTGATTTATTAAACAGATATACAGTCAGGACTGCCCAACTAGCCGGAGGCTAATGTAAAGGGCTAGCCTTCATAACAGGATAATAAACAATTAGAAACAATTAACAATGTCGGTTACAATTTAGATACATAAACATACGGTTGCGGCCTGTGGTATAAGCCGAACGTTACCAAGCTAACCATAGGTGTCTGTGCTGAACACCATGTGTTTGCTATCAATACAATATTAAGACGCACATTTCAGGCTTCTCTCGTTTGGCCATGGAGTCCGTCGCCCTGTGCGCTCACCGGAACCTGGCCCAGTCCCACCCGGTCTTCCGCCTCCTGGCGCCGCACTTCAACCAACTCAGCCCGGCAAACAGGTCCGTCATCGGGCATTAACATTCAAATTGGTAAAAAGAACCAAACTATACAAATTAGCCACTCTTGGTGACATGATGTGTATTTCTTCACTTCAGCATCATAGTCACATAACGTTAACCATTAAAACTCAAAACAAACGAGACATACATAACAGCAAATAATAGTAAATCAAGGAATACCGTGACAAGCTGTACAGTTCACGTGTGTGTCTGTAAACGTATGACATGTACTTAAACCAATAGAGCAAGAAAAGGATCTTTATTCATTCACTGACCTGCTACTACGTAACACAGGGAAACACTGCGCATGCTCGATCCCGGAGAGTGGATGGACCAGTCCACTAGGATCGGCAGGGATGGATTCATCGACATCCTACAGAGGGGGTGAGTTATTCTATTGTTTTTTGGAGGTTGAGCGAGCGTGCGTTCGTGTATCTGCTTGTCCGGACAAAACTAGGGTAGGTTAGTTGATAGCACGCGGGTGGGGAAGATTGACAGGCAGAATGAAGGGAGGTAAAGCCCAGCAGAAATTAGATATTGGGGGGAAGCCAAGGATTGTATACTTGCCGTAAGTCTGAAAATGTTTTGTCAAAACATTGTACTGTTAATGTGTAATGTATCCATAGATTCTGTACTACCCGAGAACGCCGTTCGATGCGAAATTTGCCAAAAGGTAAATTGAACATGTACAACTTTTCATCACCTTAGTGTTGAAGTATGCTTTCATGGACTCAAGGATGGAAGTACATTTTAATAGCAACCACAAGTTCTGTTAAATTTAGTGAAGCACTGTGTAAAATTCATGTCTGACGTTCTTTTTTGTAGGTGGAAAAGCCATTGGAGGATGAACGTGGAAGGGAATTTGCCTCGTGATCTAGAGAATCGAGGGGTAAGAGCATTCTAGTAACAATGACAATAATTTATAGACCCCCGTCTTGTTAACATATCTAGAAATTGCCAAGATTTTGAAGAATCCACAGTCCTCACAAATGGAAACACGAATACTGTGCATTAATATTTTTTTTCACCAGGTCGAGGACAAAACCGCCCTTCCCGCTTACCACTACCGTGACGACGCCCTCCCCATCTGGTACGCCATCGAGAAATACACCAGAACCGTGCTGAAAGCCTACTACGGTAACTGATTATATTATAAACCTGTATTAATGCTGACTACATTCGCCAAGTTGGAGTGTCTTAATAATTAAAAGTGATAAATAGTTCATAATTTCCGAATGAAAGCTCTTCTGTCTTGGTAGAATCCATAGTTTAAACACAAGAAAGAAACTCACCATAAATTTTAGGTCGATCTTAAAATGTTATTTTGTCCTTTTTTAAACAGGCACCCCTGGAAAAGTCACAGGAGACCATGAATTAAGGTCCTGGAGAGAGGAGATGACGAAACCAGCCACTGGTGGCGGCGTGGGAATTCAGGTAAGTGGCGACTCTGTTTAAATATTCATAAAATGTCTTAACATCAACTATGCATCAAGTCCTTTTGATCCCTGCACGGCGATACCATTGACTAGGAGGTTTAGGCCAAGAAGTTGTTTTGATTTGATTAGACAGATGACATCCATGCACAAATGAATTTTCACTCACCGCCCCCCCCCCCCAAAAAAACCCGTTTTGACCATATGCATACTATACTGTAAATCGTAATATTCACGATTTTAATCCTATTGCCAGCTGATATTTTAGCACTGTTTTGATGCTACATGTTGGATAGACCATTCTTTGCTCTTTCTGTGCTTCAGGGCGTTCCAGGTGAGGGTGAATTCAGGACAGTTGATGACGTGGTTGCTACGGTGACGTCCGTCATATTTACCTGTACCGTGTCGCGTGCTGTCAGCCTGCAGATGTACGACCAGTGCGCCTTCCCGCCCAACTACCCTCTCAACCTCACCGGCGCTCCTATCACAGTCAAGGTACGTACCCAACTACCCACTCAACCTCACCGGCACTCCTATCACAGTCAAGGTACATTCGGCACTGCTTTCGGATGCGGAGGTATTGTTTTGGGTGTGTTTTGTTTTCTGTACATGTGTATGTGTGTGTGTGTATGTGTGTGTGTGTGTGTGTGTGTGTGTGTGTGTGTGTGTGTGTGTATGTGTGTGTGTGTGTGTGTGTGTGTGTGTGTGTGTGTTTGCTTGTGTTCGTATGCATGTATTTGAACGCACTACCCGTTGGTCCCTGTCAGCTTGATGGACCTAACTACCTGTGCCTGACTTTTTGTGGTCTGTGGTTAGGGCAGTCACCTCGCCCACGTGCTGTCACTCAATTGTACAAACACATGCGCACACAGACACACATGCACAAACACATGAATAAAAACACACACACACACTCACACACACACACACACACACACACACACACACACACACACACACACTCACACACACACACTCACGCACTCACTCACACACACACACACACACACACACACACACACACACACACACACACACACACACACACACACACACACACACACACACACACACACACACACACACACACACACACACACA